TGGCAGGTGTCCCTGCCCATGGCAGGGGGGTTGGAACTAGATGGTCTTTGAGGTCCCTTCCCACCCAAACCGTTCTGTGATTCTATGATTTTGCACGCTTTTAAAATGTGTCATCGTTCTGCAGCGCTAAGTCTGTAGTGAAACCAACATCTTGAAAACCATGTTCAGGTTTGGTTGTGGGTTGGTTGGTTTGGTTTTATTTTTAATGCAAAGCTTTAGGAAACATACAAGGGATTACAGTTACCATACAACTACTGATAATGGCCCATTTGATGTTGGAGGGCTTAGGTTTTGGATTTTGGGTTGGTTTTTTTTGTGTTGACTGGTTGGTTTAGTTTTTAAATACTGTGGCACCCTGAGGGAAATACAGAGTAGCTTTCATCTTTCAGCCTGTCCCAGATACTGTGTCTCCTCGTAAGATTTTAACTACGTACAAGTTCCATTACCATAAACTCTCCGTGTCTTGTTTTGTTCAGAAATTTGGAATATAATATTCCCTGTCCTGTGCTTCTGCAAAATAAAATTATGGAGAAAGATTGTGCAGTACTTACTGAAGTGTTACTCTTGCAACTTTCCTTAAGGAAGAAGAGTCAGACAGTGAAGAAAATTTTATTGACCTGAATGTTCTCAAGGCACAAACACACAGATCGGTAAGTTTTTACCCATCAGTTGTCTCCTGATTTTACATCTGTAGCAGCAATGTGTTTTTGTTGGGTTTAAGTGTGAAAATACTTGTACAGTCTAAACTTGGGGGGAAAAAAAAAGAAAAAAACCCCCAGACATTCCAGCAGAAATGAATCAGCTTATTTTAAAAGAAAAATGCTTAGTTTGTATGTAAGCTGTTTTCACTGCGAGGTTGCTGGAACTTTGGGGGGGAAAAAAAAAAAACCCCAAACATTCCAGCAGAAATGAATCAGCTTATTTTAAAAGAAAAATGTGCATCTAGTTTGTAAGCTGTTTTCACTGCGAGGTTGCTGGAAACATCCGCAAGAAGTTTTTGCAGACTTCTAGGGAAGCATGGTATTAGTTTTTTGAACATATTTTCATTTCCTGCCCCTTGCTATTTCTTGGATGTCCTACAGTTTCTTCTTATATATATTTTACCCTTTTCAGTTCTAAATATGATGAGAAGATATATTTATTTTAATTCCTAGTCTGTATGAATTCAAAGAAAGCCACTGAAGAAATCTGTTACATCGGTAGTCAAGATCATTCTGGGTAGAGGGTCTTTCTGACTGTGAACGCTACGAGCCACTGTGACATGATTTCTAACAGCTCTCACTGTGCATAATGGTGATATTTTGCATACAAACTTTGTGATGTGTACACAGGACGTGAATGACTCTGCAAAGCAAGAAGAGATTTTACAGTCCACGACAGATGCAGCAGAGTGGAATCTGGAAGTGGAACGGGTGCTTCCACAGCTGAAAGTTACAGTCAGGACTGACAACAAGGTACAGAGACTGGCTTTGCTTGTGTACACATGGTGATTAAAGTGTGATTTCAGTCAGTGTTTGCTTTCCATTTACATATTTTTCTTTTGTAATGCCAAGAATTGTGAATAATGGGCTCTCCATTGCTACCTGATCTGAGTCTCACATACTTTGACCAAAGAGAAAGTTATTTTCAGTAGGTTGTTTTTTCCCTTTTCATCTTTCTGGACTTCAAATGGCATTAAAGTAGGTCTGTACCTCTGATCTAGTCATCACGGGCTCTCCTTATGTTTGGCAAAAAGAAGTGAGTACTTTTTCAACAAATTTTACTTACTTACCCAGATAACTACCTTAAGATGAAATTCATCATTTCTTAGAAATGAGTATTTCTCTCCATAATCTCTTCCAAGGAGTCTAGAATGAGCCGCTTAGAAGCAGCAATCTATCTTTGTCAAGTCAGAGTTCAAACCTAGGACCTGTTCCTGGCGTTGCCATAAACATTCTCTCTAGGAGCTTGTGTAGCGCACACAGATCAGTTCAGTATTGAAATTGTTCATTTGTAGTGACCCAGCTAGTTGGGGCATTGGAGCCATCTGTAGCATCGATACATAATTCAGTGAAAAATAATTAGCTTGCCAAAAATAGGCTAAGCTCTCTATCTGTTAAATTGCTTGCCTGTTTTACCGCTACACTGCATGCTTCTGTGTGAAGATTTGCCTGGTTTGAGCCACCTTTCTTTGATCCTCGGGAGCCCATCTGTTACAGAATATCATGCTTAATTCTACACTAAGAAATTAAAACTGAAGACATACACGGAAAATTAAAGCCACTGTAAGAACTGAGGTTTACTAGCTTCCAGTTTAATGCACCATCTCTTGGCTTTAAGGAATATGTCAAAATGAACATGAAAAGAGGATTCTTCTTTTTCTAGGTTCTGTGCCATAATTCTTTCAGAAATACCTGGAGAGGAGTTTGTGTTGTCTGTTCGTTCTACAAGAAACGCATCGCGTTGTGTTGCCTACGTAGTGCACGTATACGTAGTACTGGGAGAGGGTTAACAGTTTCACCAATGGCATTAGAAACTAGAACGAACTTGTAAAGTCCGGGGCAGGGATGGGAGGTATAACAATAACATAAACAAGGCCCTCTCTTCACCAGCACTCGTAGGACTCCTGTAAAACATAACTATAGACAGCCAGGCCCCCTTCCTCCTCTCCAGCTCATAAGGATTGAAGTTCAGTAGTGAAACCACGCACGCCTTCTCTCAAGAACATGCATTCTCATGATTATCCTGTCTGCCTTATCCTCCTGCCTGGATCCTGGGCCCTCTTTGCTGTTTCACTGCTCTTCTGCTTGCCAGCCAGCCCGGCTTGACGCTTGCCAGCAAACAGATGCAGACGCTCACGTGCTCATCTTAAGGGTGCTCTGCATTTCTGGGTGCCCCCAACACCGGCAGATACCCTCTGCCTGCATGTACCCAGGCCCGCGTCCAGGGCCTGCTGCTCGGCGGCTGGGTCAGTTTTAAGAATGCTGTTGAATTTTACACCTGCACAGCAGGTTCAGGGAAGATCCAAACGCTTGCCTGTCCCCGCCCCAGCAGCTGGAAGCAGCAACACGGGTGTGTGACCTGCAGTCTTGCTCCGGCTGCTCGCACTGAGCCCTTCACTTGCTTTACTCACACCAGTCCTTCCCAGTAGCAGGATTTTGGGATACGTGTTGGTCCTGCCTTGGTGGCTGAGACCCTTACGTGCTCCTGTGGCTGGCACGGAGAATCTCACTGAGGCAAGCACTGTCTCCTTCCATGTATCCTTACAGTGCCTATTTTACAAGAGTGTCTCCTAAGGTTTGATTTCAAGTGATGAAGACGTATTAATAGCACTTTCTTTTAACAACTGGTCCAGTACAATGCCAAAATCTTAAGAATACTTAATAGCACGTTCAGAAACACGATACTGAAGTAGCAGTAATTCTGCAGGGCTGCTACTCTGCTTCCTTTTGAACTCAGTCTGTCTGCAGCTGTGCTTTGGGTCTGGGAGATGAAAATTTTGCATTGATACAGAAAAACTTGTGATCGAGCTTAGGAACTGGAGTTGATTTCTAGGGAGAAGATGCCTGCCTGTCAAGTTAAAACAGCACCTTTCTCATCCCCCAGCCCTGAGCCCATGTTCCCTGTGACCTAGAAGCTGCAAATAACTATCCCCCTTCTATTTTTGTCTTGCTATCAAAACCAAGCTTTAAGTGTTTTGGCCTCTTTATCTTCTTCTGAAAATAGCAAGGGTTAAGTAGAAAGGGAATATCTGGCAGTCTGGAACTGGTAGGTGTTGGACATTTGAAGCCCTTTTGTCTGAGAATAAGCCGATCCAGTGCAGTTCTAATGAATATTTTCAGTATTTGTGCCCCGAGTGGTTTCTAGCAGAGATGGTTCCATGAATGTCAAACAGACTGAAAAGCAGAGCTCCTGGGGTATCAGTGAGGATGTCAATGTTTTTTTATGGATCTGTTTATAAACTGTGTCACATTAGGCAAGTGCCTCTGGATATGAACGTGGCAGTGGCAGAGAATGGTGCAGGGTAACAGTATGAAAGAGAACGGACCCTGCCTTGTGTACCAGCGTTTGTTTAGTGACCAGAGAAAGATAAGTTACACTTCCCTAAGTTTCACTTTGTGGCATCTTTTTTAGGACTGGAGGATCCATGTAGATCAAATGCATCAACATCAAGATGGAATTGAATCTTCTTTGAAAGAAACTAAGGTATGTCTTGTACGTGCACAACTTTGATCTGTCAGCATTTTTACTTTCTCTTTTATTTGATATACGTTAAGAACTAAATTGATTTTTTTCCTCCTTCATTTTATTTGTGCTAGTGCTGTAAAACCAAAAGAGGGAAACGTGTGATAATGATGATTAGGGACGGTGAGACTGGCTAGAGTTTTGTGTATATGAGTATTAACAGGGTTATTAGGGTTCATTAACATATTAGCATAAGTACACCCTGACTACAGAGAGTAAAACAGAATAATACAATAACACAATCTGAAAATGAGTGCTGATAAAAAAAGCCAAAATACTGTCAGATGCTGTCGTTAGAGTAACTTAACTGACATTGATGTTTGCAGTTAATTGAGGGGGGAGGGTGACGGAAGCAGTAATGCTTGAAAAGTGTGTTTTGGAACTGGGCAAACCAGAGCACGTTAGGAATGATACTTTGTCAGCCAGACACAGCATTTCCACACTGTTTTTCTCTCTCACTTGTAGGCTTCCGTATCCCTTCTTAATTACAGCACCATTTTAATACTCTTTGCCTATTACCCGTATGCCTTCAACCCACGGAATATCCTTTTCTAGGGTTACCTTGACAAACTCCATAATGAAATCAGCAGAACGCTGGAAAAGATCAACAGCAGGGAAAGGTACATCAACAATCAGTTGGAGCACTTGGTTCAAGAGTACCGTTCAGCCCAGGCCTTGCTGAGTGAGGTAACACACTGACCTTCGGCTGTTGCCTTCTCTAGCATTCCCTTGCTACTGCCCGAGGGTGAAGGCAAAGGAGGCTCGGAGGAGTTATCTGTGAATTCTGCTGTTGGGTGCAGAGCAGGGGAAATGTTGATTGGCTGTCGAATTATATCGGTTTTAAGCTAAAGTAGCAATTTTGATTCATCTATTCCACAGGGGAAATTAAATGGGTTTTGCCTGAATATCCTGTAAATCTGTAGCCAGTCTTAGGCAGGCAGTACATAGCGAGCTCTGCTTTCCCTGTGAAGTTTACACATCTGTGATGAGTGGAAAAACTGCAGTCTCAGCCCAGCACTCATCTCTCCTATCGATTACTGGCGCTAACATGCGCAAAGCACTCTGGTTGGTTTTTTACTTTGTTTTTATGCCAGCAGAATGCTGTTTGAGAAGCTTTTTGATCCCCTCGTTAGGAGGCCTGTGTAAGCTGCTGTTGGGCCAGCCCTCCTGTTTGCGGGCATGACGTTAAAATGGGACTAACAGGATTTCAGTTCTGTGCTTTGTGCTTACGTTACCGTTAAGCTCTGAGAAACTTAAGATAGGAATTTACTGTTGACAAAGAAATCATTCTGGGTTTCAGGATTCAATTCTGTCCGCATTCTGGCAAATTTTATGTTTATTTCCTCATGTAGATGATTAGAAAACATACTTTTTCTTGTGTACGTATTACGGCAATAGCTTACAATTTCATACTTTTTCTTGTGTACGTATTAAGGCAATAGCTTACAATTTTTAAAACTGCTTTACGTGTCTTAATGTTATTCATGACAGGGACTGATGTTTCAAGCCTGTCCTCATATGTATAGCACTGTAGACATCACTGGGACTTTGTGGGAGGGTTTCTAGAACGGAGACATGTGAGAGTAAGTTTTGGTGTTCTCTCTGAGCTATCTGCATGCATCTCTTCTGCATACATCTCTTCAGCTTTGTCATTACAGCAAAAACATCTTTCTTTCCAGGCTAAAGAGAAGTACCAGGAGGGAAGTGGGGGAGTAGTTGAGAGGACTAGAGTGCTTTCTGAGGTAAAACACATTTTCACATAGTTTCTTTTTGCTGCTTTTAAAACAATCTTCAGAGAGTTGGTGTTTAGTGTTTGCAGTTTTGTGAGCCCAGTTCTTCCTGATTTGTTCTCATGTTAAAGATTAATCTGTGTGTTTAGTGGAGATTGCCCAAATTCACAACTTAAAGAATCACCTAAATTTTAAACCCAGGTTGCTGTTCTTTAAGTTGTGAATTTGGGCAAACTGTGGTGAGCTCTGAGCTCTTAACTAACCTATTTTTGTAAATGAGGGCAAATATTCTGCACTTCATAACCTGTGTCCTAGAATTATTGAGGGTTAATCAAGTCATGTTCATGAATTCTTCAGAAGAAAAGCTTAACTCTTACTTTTAACTAAAATTAACCATTTGAAGTTTTCATCTTCCAAATACTTAAAAGCAATATTTGACTAAACAGTAACTTTTCCATACTAATTGTATTACATTAATACCTAAAACTTTTGCTGTTGCCTTTATTTTTTTTAAATCAGTGCTCTGACAAATTTAAAGAAAAATCTCGACTCTGAACTGCCTCAACATGTTGAGTGTTTCATGGCATTTCATTTAGAATTACTGGCTGATTTCCAAGTATTTCAACCTTTTTTCCAATCTAGGCTTTTTTTTTAATGGCTCCATTGTTTGGGTTTGAAAAACCCACTTTATTCATTAGTATATAAAGTGTCAGGAATGGTCGCATAAAATAGATCACACCATAAGAATGTGCTAGAACTTGTAAAACGGGTTTGAGAC